TCTGTGCTTAACCACTTGAAGTCTGGGGTGCTAAACCCCCTTCTTGGCCAGGCCATTTTTCAGTAATCAGCAATGTGGTACTTTGACTGACATGTATTCAGTCATGCAACGATGCACTGAAATCCATTTTATGTAGTTTTTTTAGGATAGATAGAGCTTTCTTTTGGTGGTATTTATTTACCACTGGGGCTTTTATTTTTTACTATATAAAAGAAAAAAATACAGACAATTTTGAAAAAATATCTTTCCCCCTACATTATGTTATGAAAAATGTATTATTACCCGATTTTTTGGTAAAATATAAAAGATCGGGTCATGTTGGGTAAATAAACTAGAGCTGCAACAACTAATCGACTAAATCGTTGATGAGAATAGTTAGCAACTATTCTCATCATCAATTAGTTGGTTGGGGAAGAGGAGGGAGGGAGAGCGAGGGGGAGGGAGAGAGAGGGGGAGGGAGAGAGAGGCGAGACAATGTTTTGTATACCACAAATCGATTACTTGAAAAAATAATCGGGTAACTAATCGTTTATGAAAATAATCGTTAGCTGCAGCTCTAGAATTATTGCTTGCGCTCCGACATTTGTGGGGATATGCAACATGTGTGGTGTAATCATTGTTTTCTCACAACGGGCGGATGGCAAGTAAAGTATATAGATATACAAGTTATATACATACATGCATACATACACAATTTTTGCTTTATAAATAACAATTTTAATACAGTAGATTCTCAAAGCAATATGAGTCAAGAAAAGAGACAGCAAACTAAGCTTGATTTGGAGCTCAATTTGTCTAATTTCAAAAGCTCCCAATGAACCCTCTGAGAGGAGTCTTTTTTTCTGGTTTGTAAACAACTGGCTTCTTTCAGCACATTGGAAAGCTGAAATAGCTGAAAATAAAAAAAAAAGGAGCCTAGAGCTCCATTGGCTGGCTGTATAGAAGACTACACAGTATATATAAGCAATATTTCATGCTTACCTTATATAAAAAAGATTTTTTTTTTTTTAGTTTTTTCAGTTCTGACCAAAAAACTAAAGTTTTATTCCATAAAGAATAAAATAAACGATATACAAAACCACTGTAAATTGCCTTAAATACTGTACAATGCGATACAGTTATGCATATCTGGCTGATTTACATTCAACTGGACTCGTTTTTTAATGTTGACCTCGTCAGTTCAGATCAGGGATGGGACATACTTCAGCATTTATATCCATATGGGCAACTCAGCAACCTTAATTTATGTCCCCAGTCCATGAATAATATTGCCAACACTCTGTGGAACTGAGGAAGCCACTCGAATGGGTGGTAAGTCTTCAATATTACTAAACAAGTCCAGCTGAATGTGACTAATTACTACTAGCTACTGTGTATTCACAGACACAAATGTATAAACACTATAAATTCCCTTTAACCCCTTCGTGACTGACGACGTACAGTGTACGTCGCCAGCATCGATGCTGTTTAAACGGACTCCCGGACTTTTTGAAAAAAAGGCCTCAGTCATGAAGGGGTTAAAGCATATACTATTTATTATGCATTCACTATAATGATATACTGATAACCATGTGATGACCATGTATTAGAGTAATAGAGAATATCAGGGCAGTTAAGTTGTATGCATCTCTACAGCTTGTCTCATAACAGGTTCTTAGTCACTTTTGGAGAAATCTACAGCTATATCTCAAAGATCAATCATATATCTGAAAATAGCCCCTTCTCAATAACAAGCAAAAAGTTTATTTCTTTTGGATCAAGCTATTAACTTTCTAGATTAGCAAACCATTACACAGATAAGCCAAGCGGACAAAATAGATCTAAGAAAAAAAAAAGTGCTATTATATTATGAATTTGGCTTTGTGAAGTGAAAGTGCACACTTCCAACTACACTTACATTCTCCTAACATATTTATTTTCTCAAATGTCAATTCATTAAAAATATACAGTATATCTCATAGGTGTATTTTTTTTTTTTTCAAACAAAATAGCTATTTTAACTACTAAAAGACCTTATTTTCCTGCTCTCCTCAATAAACACTTGATTACAGAAATAGGTTAATAATGACAACCTGAATCTTGCAAAATGTTGAGGAGCGATGCCTGTTTTGAATCGACTCTTAAGTGGTTAAAAGGCCCAATATGTAAAAAATATTACTTATAATTTATTCTTATGATGACATCATTACCTTACACGATGATCTCTCCATTTTAGGCAGTCCCCAAAATGATAATACTAGGAGGCAATTACACAGTTTATGCTTCTGCCTTGTAGCACTGGGGGTCACTGGTTCGAATCCCGGCCAGGTCACTATCTACAAGGAGCATGCATGTTCTCCTTTTGTGGGTTTCCTCCGGGAACTCCGGTTTCCTCCCGCACTCCAAAGACATGCTAGTAGGTTAATTGGCTCCTGTCTAAATCGTTCTGTGTGTATGCATGTGAGATAGGGACCTTCGATTGTAAGCTCCATGAGGGCAGGGACTGATGTGAATGTGCTCTATGTAAAGCGCTGCATAAATTGTCGGAGCTACATAAATACCAATAATTAATAATAATAAATATGTGGGCAGGGGGTGCTTAGTAAAATGCAAGGTAACTGTTGTATTTAAATTGATAACTGTTTGTATAAAAAATAGATACATTTAAAATGTACTTACCAAAGACGTTAAGCCTTCATTATCAACAACCCAATCTTCTTTGTCAGCTAGTCGTTTAACTTCTGAAAAAAGAAGTCTAGTATTAACCTCAGATACGCTTATATTATTACCACTTTAACATACTTTCCTAGAACCATATAAACAACAGAGAAGACTAGAAGGGTGTGACAGTAAACTAGGCAACCTGGGGAATTTGTTATCAAATCGTTTCTTATGCAAACCAACATTTCCTAAAAAGCAGGGTGCATTAAAATTGCATGGAGGAGGGGACACAATCCTGCCAAGCATTCAGAATCTGCCATTATTAGGCATTGTTAGTACCTGGCACCTATGGTACATACCCTGGCCACTGTTGCCGCAATGTTTTTTCTACAGCTGCTGGCCCAGCTCCAGTTAGAAATGTTGTGGAGGGGCCACGGAGCTCGGATTGCGCAATTTACAGGCACCAGCATGGACACTAAAGAAAAATGTCATATGAATGAACTGTTTACAAACGGGGGCTTAGCCAAAAAAGTTTGAGAACCCGTTTATACACAGGGTATTGGGATGTTGGCAAGTACAGCATGAAAATGCATCTTGAATCTACTAACTTTTGTGAATTATATAATGTACTATATTACAACAACTTATGCTGACTAAGCTATTCTGACACCCCTGATAGAATGTGGGCCTGTGTTGACGGGCTTCAATAGTTAAATGAAGCGTGCTTTTTACATATAATTGAGACGCTTCTGAGATTATTTAGAGTTCATTGCAGGTTCAGTGGACCTGCATTTCACCTGCTTCAGCTGCTTTTGCAGTCTTATAGACTTGTATGGAGAAAGCCGGAAACATGTCGAAATTGGCCCTAAACAATATCAGACATTCTCTTTGTTTTATTCTGCTTTATTTATTCTGCGTTATGCTGTTCTTTTTAGTATCTTCTGTATACTAGTACTGACAATTTTTTCTGAAAAAAATGTACGGGTTGGGACCCAAGCGCTTTACTCAATCTCTTTTTTTAAAGTGGACCTTTACCCCCTTTGACTAAATCACACCGGTATACAGCTCTGCATGCGGATATGAAATAATTGTACGTTTATTAGCTAAACAAACATTTTTCTTTTATTTAAAATGTATTTTTTCTACTTCCTGGTCTACTTTGGCATAAATGATGTAATGGGCTCAAGCAATGCATCATGGGAAGGTAACATGAGCAGAGAGTTCAAGACATTTAGTGATCAAATATTATGGGACAAGAGCAACTAGACTCATTCACCTAACCAACCGCTTAGTGTCTGCAACCCCCCTCTGCCAATCCCTCCACTGGCTTCCAATAGCCCAAAAGATAAAATTCAAAATATTAACAATGACTTACAAAGCCATCCACAACTCGGCCCCCGGCTATATCTTAAATATTGTCTCAAAGTATCACCCTAACCATCCCCTCCGCTCTTCAAATGACCTTCTGCTTTCCAGCTCCCTCGTCAACTCCTCCCATGCTCGCCTCCAGGACTTCACTAGAGTCTCTCCCATCCTCTGGAACTCTTTACCCCAACCTGTCCATCTGTCTCCCACTCTGACTGCCTTTAGGCGATACCTTAAGACTCATCTCTTCAGGGAAGCCTATCCCACCACAACCTAACCGCTCAACCATCACGTTCTCAGACAATTCATCCCCACACAGCTACCTCCTCATGCATCACTTCCCCCTCCGTTTTAGATTATAAGCCCTCTGGGGCAGGGCCCTCCTTACCATCTTGTCTTGAATTGTATTGTGATTGTAATGTCTTCCTTATATCGTAAAGCGCTGCGCAAACTGTTGGCGCTTTATAAATCCTATATAATAATAATAACTAAGATGGGTGCAAATAATTCTTTTGACTATAGATGGGTTAAACATAGAGATACATTTCCCTTACTGCAAGTGTTGGGATAAATAGAGATATTTATATGTACACTGAGTGGCCAGATTATTATGACCACCCCATCAGTACTTTGTTGGGCAACCTTTTGCCTTGCGGCGATTCTTCTTGGCATTGACTCCACGAGATGTTGAAAGGTGATGCGAGGAATCTGACACCATGCCTGATGAATAGCACTGTCCAGTTCTGTGAGATTTGATGGTTGTGGAACCAGCTGCCTGATGGCTCTTACAACTTCGTCCTACAAATGCTCAATTGGATTGAGATCTGGTGATTGTGGGGGACACCTAAGCAAGGTAAAGTCTCCCTCATGTTCTTGAAACCACTCCTGCACAATACGAGCTCCGTGGCATGGCACATTGTGTTGTTGGAAGAAGCCATCTCCATTGGGATACGCCATCAACATGATAGGATGAACTTGATCAGCAACGATACTTTGGTATGTTGTGCTATTCAGACGTTGTTCCACACGAATTAAAGGGCCCAAATCATGCCAGGAAAACATGCCCCAAACCATAACACTGCCCCCACCAGCTTGAAGGGTTGTACTCATGCATGTGGGGTGCATGCTTTTATGCTGTTCCCGCCAAATTCTCACTCTTCTATCTGCATGATGCAACTGGAAACATGATTCATCGGGCCACATGACTTTTTCCCAATGCTCGACTGTCCAATCATTGTGTTCATGTGCGAATTGGAAACGTTTTATCTTGTTAACTGCAAACAGCAAAGGAGTTCAAACAGGCCTTTGGCTTCCATATCCCATACGATGCAGTGTACGGCGAACAGTGCGTTCAGAGATCATTTGAGAGGATCCCTGATTAAGATCTGCAGTAATTTTATGCACTGTTGCCCTTCTGTTGTCTTGTACCAGTCTTGCCACTCTCCGTTCTGCCCTAACATTGACTAGTCGCTGACGGCCACAATTCGCACGTTCAGACCCAGATTTGCGGCTGACAGTCCAGTCTTTAAACACTTTAACAACAGCTGCTCTTGAACATTTAACGAATTCTGCTGTTTTGCTGATACTCCATGGCTCAGAGCGCCAACAATCATCCCACGTTCAAAGGCTGTTAAATCGCGTTGTTTACTCATATCTTCAGAAACAAATCACTTCTACTGTCGTGGTAAACAACCTGCTTCCCTATTTATAATGGTCTGGCCCTCTAGCAACTTCAGCGCAAAATTATAGCTAATTTGCCTACAAACGTCAGGTGGTCATAATAATCTGGCCACTCAGTGTATATTGCTTGATGGGTAACTAGGATGTATTCAAATAAACTCCTGCTTTTTTATTAATATGTGTATGTGATAATTTTTTGAATAAATACAAAATCTGAAGAAAACTCTTTAGCAGAGCCAAAATTACCAAATGCTCTAGGGATGGGCACAGTGTGTATTAAAGTGACACTAAACTCAGGAGTTAAATCTTAAAATGGATTCAAGTACCTTAACTATTAACAAAAAAGTACTTTTGTGTATGACTCAGCTGTGTAGATCCTCAAATCATCTCTGAATTTATAATGACACTGTCCTTCCTTCAGAAGGGTGGCTACTTTTGTTCTGCATGGTCTCTAAGTGTGCTGAGGAGTAGCCACCGCTCCAAGCACGCTCCCATGATAGACTGCAATCTCAATACACATCAGTAAACTAAATGTGAGATTGTAGTCCATAATGGGAGGGAGCGGTGGCTACTTTACAACACACACAGTGACCACGGGGAACAAAAATAGCCACCTTCCAGACGGACAGCTTCAGCACCAATTCAGAGATGATTTGAGGATCTGCAGCTGACTGATACACAAAGAAGTTGCATTTTTGTTAAGTTAAATTACTTCTATGCATTTTTAAGATGTATTTACAGTTTTAGGTTTTGGTTGGAGAGATTTTCCTTACTTCCTGCTCAGGTGCCCAAGTAACTAACAGAGGTTCTACTGCTTGTAAACTTTACTTGCTGTATGTGTACAAGGAGTGCGCACAAATCACCTGAATGGGGACAAAATCAACAAACAGACAGAGGTAGTGCACATGCTCCACTCTATCCAAAACTTGAAAATAATTAGCTGGTGCTGGGCATTAAAACAATCAAAAATGGATATAAGGTTGGAATATAAAGCAGATCTCTTCCAAGCATGGCGCTTACAACTTGAAATGTTTGATGAAATGATGGCAACCATAATGTAAAAGGTAGAAACATGACAGACACACAGTTACCTTCTGCTGTATGCTGTAAGGTGACAATGACACTGCGAACACGTAAATCCAAGATAAGGTCTTGTATGGATTGTAGCATGTCATTGGGGATCTCAAGTGCTGTCAAAGATTCATAACTAGGCCTAAAATACAGAAAAAGTCACATTTATGTTGCATTTTTATAAAATGACTTTTTACAACTAAGTATATTTTCAGTAAAATCGTACACATTCTCCACTGAAGTACCACAGACACAAATCGACATATCGGAATGAAACCTTCCAACATCTCAAAAATAGAGATTAAGGCTAACATGCACTCCCCCGCCACTCTACTAACAGAGTCTCAGTGCAACAAGCAAGATGCCCCCACCACCTGCCATAATTGCTTAGTACTTGAATGGCAGATTCAGGCTTAAAGTGGACCGTCTTTTCTAACTCCCAAGATGCAGTGCTTGGGATTAAGAGGTCAATCTCCAGGCCTGAAATTTGTGGGGAAGAAGGTAATTAACTCCATATAAACCCTGACACAGACTGACAGAGCTAACTCAGGTATTAGGCCCACGACTCCGACATACAAACGGAGCAGCAGGTGAGCAAGTTAAATCTTAGGGATGAGCTCAGGGGTTTGAAACAAACCCAGTCCAAACTCAAGCTCCTCCAAACCCATAAGAGACATGGGGCCACCCACCCAATCAGCTGTGGACTGGGACATTTCCTTCCCTGCACGTGAACAAAGGGGCGAGATTACTTGTGCTGACATCACTTATCTTAGCTGGCCACATGGCCATTTTAGGTCAGTGTCACTGATCAAATATAGCCATGTGGCCATATAAGATCAATGATGTCACAGCATCCCAACACTTAGCTTACGTGCTGCTGCAGCATGGAATACCCTGGCCGCAGCTGATTGGGCAGCAGTGGAAGGAGCTTTCCTCCAGGATGGGAGGAGCTCAGGTTTGGACTGGGTTCGCTCTTAACCTGAGCATATGACTAGTGCAGGTGACGATCAGTGGGTGGTTTGGGTTGGCCTGTCAAAAGAAACTGTCTATTTGTTCATTAGGGCTGCAGCTAACGATTATTAAGTTCGATTAATCGGATTTAAAAAAAAAAAGGCTCCAGTGATGGACTACTAGTTTCTATTGAGATTGTAGTCCATCACGGGAGCAAGCTTGGCGCGGTGGAAGTAAAAAAAAAGTGTGGTGTGCAATATAGTACATTATACAGCGGCGCAGTGCAGAATACCAGCAGCTATAGAGGAATGCAGCAATAGTACATTATACTATAATGTACTATTGCTGGGATTTGTAGTCCTCTGTAACTGCTGGTATTCTGCATTGCGTTGTGTATAATGTACTATTGCTGGGATTTGTAGTCCTCTGTAACTGCTGGTATTCTGCATTGCGTTGTATATAATGTACTATTGCTGGGATTTGTAGTCCTCTGTAGCTGGGGTTATTCTGCATTGCACTGTATATAATGTATTATTGCTGGGATTTGTAGTCCTCTATAGCTGGTGGTATTCTGCAGTGTGCTGTATAATGATTATACGGTGCAATGCAGAATACCAGCAGCTATAGAGGAACACAACAAATGCCAGCAATAGTACATTATACTCAGGGGCGTCCCGAGGCTGGGTGACACCCGGAGCGGTAACCGAGTGTCACCCCGCTGAGACGTCACTGCGCATGACGTCATCACGCACGCGCGGCAGTATATTGTAGGAGGGGACAGTCACCCGGCGGAATAAGGTATGCCGCCCGGTTGGAAACATTACAAACCTCCCGGCCGATCTCGACTTACTTTGAATGACGGTGTTGTCGGCGGGCAGCGGCGTTGTTGGTTGTCGGCGGGCAGCGGCGAGTTGGGAAGCTCACCGGGAGGAGAGGGCCAGACGCATGTCCTCAGTGTGTGCGGTGGGCGTGACGTAAGCGGGTTTACCGGCGTGTGCGGTGGGCGTGGCGCGAGCGGCTTAACCGACGTGGGCGTGAGCGGGAAATTTTAATTTTAGCCGACGATGGAAAACGCTAACGTTTTCCATCGTCGATTTTAATCGACTTAATCGAATAATTGTTGCAGCTCTATTGTTCTTCTAAATGAAGTCTACTTTTAGCTGAAAACAAAAACTTGAAATTGTTACTTTTAGATTAATTTAAACAGTTCAGGGTACCCCAGAACTCTTTGATAAATACTGCTAGGGGCACATGTACTACTGGTTAAGAAACTGTTATTTAAATAGGAGAAAATCTGCCTTAATTTTAAGTATTAACTCTTACTTACCTGACAGTCTGGACAACATGAGCTAACCATGGACCAGACAATTCAGCCTTTAACTCCCAGCCACCATACTTCTTTAAGTCCTCTTCACTAATAGTAAATGGGAGCAAGGCTCCACGGATGAGCTTCACAAGAGACTGCATCACTTCCTGAATCATTTTCTAGAGCACAAAAAATAGAGAAATAATGACAAATGGACAACTGGTTCATAAGTATAATTAGCAGGGAAGACGTTCAGAAGAGAGCATAGAAGGATGAAACATATGGAGTGACATTAAAATAAGAAACAAGTAAGGTTTAAAATGAATGTCAGTATAGTTGGTGCAATGTTACACAACTGTAGAAAAGAGAATGTAATGAAGAAGTTTGCATCACTTTCATCCAACAAGAGTTGAAAAATGGAAAGAGATTACTATGGCTCTAGTTATAGTACAAGAGGCGTTCTAGAAACATTTTAAAAAACTGCAATCATAGGGTATTTTGTGTGGCAGGACTAAACAAAAGGAACTGACCAACATAATGCCATAGTGTATTCCAAAAAGGGCCAAGGTGCAAACCTCTTTGTGTAATATTATATATATATTTTATATATATATATATATATATATATATTACACACACACATATTGCTGAAAAATGTATGCATCCCTGTACATCCAATACACTGAATTATAAGTACTGTTGACTTACCTTAAAATCATTTGGCCTTTGTTTTATGTTTTTTCTGTGACTTTCAATTTGGACAGATTTTTCTGCTGTCTAAACAGAACACAAAACAAACTAAGTACAAGTGACAAAGTAAATCATGACATACGTATGGAGAGAAGAAATGAACTGTGAAAGCCAGTAAGGTCGTACTTTCCAACACCCCAGTGCTTAATCAGGAAAGAAGTTCTTGGTACCGCATAGTCATGTGTTTGTAATTTCAGAAGATATATTCTATGAAATTACCGTATATAACTTTTCATCAGATATGACACTGCATTCTAATAGTTCTAGCCTTAGAACATGCTATATTTTGCAATCAATGTGACAAATTGTGACACTTCTTGTAACAATTATATTATTGATACAAAGTCAGCCTTTATTTCAGCAAGCAATATCTTTCTGTTAGGGATGATAAACAACTATTTCACTGCATACACAATGCACATTTCTTGAGTTGAAATTGATGATTTTTTAAGAACTATATAGTCTTTTAAATGTTTTTTTAGATGTATATGTAAAAAAGATCAGATGAGTGCCAATAGCCTTATGAATGCAATTAATGGTTATGCAAGATTAGTGTTTATGCATTTTTGTTTGTATTTATATATGTAATTGAGGCAACGAATCCTCTTATTGCACTTTAAATCTTTAGTAAGTTGAAACACCCATAATGCTATAGGACCCCAGAGATCATCTGCTTTAGCTGAGCTTAGGGCTTTGGGAGCAGTACTTTTTAATCAAGGTAAGAAATAGGTACCTTTTATACGAAAAAATAAATAAAATTGGGCAATGTGCATTACACAACACTGTTGTGAATAGGCCTTAGAGTGTGAATTGTAATGATAGGTGTACTTTAAATGGCATTTGAACTGACCTGAAGGAACTGTATTTCGTTCACTGAAGGACATAGGATTCACTGACAACTGGGTTATACTGCTGCCTATGGCAGATTTGGAATACTGACACGCAAAAAAAAACCTGACTAGATGGGTATCGTTCATCCCACTCCCAGGATGCCGCTGTTTTCTGCTAGCATCCTAGAAAGATGTAGATTTTTCTTCTCTACTTAAAGTGACACTAAACTCAGACCTTAATTGTGTATCATTTGGCTGTAGACCCACAAATCATCTCTGAATTTGTGCTGAAACTGTCCTTCCTTTTGGAGGGTGACTACTTTTGTTTCCCATGCTCCAGGCGCTACCTCGTGACCAAGATCGTTAGTTGGCACTATTACCCATTTCTTCCATTGGTTTATCATGTAATGGGTTAACGCTGAGAGATTGAGCGTTGATGTAATCCCTTAGGTGAAGTGTCACATGCACATGCTCTATGCTCTTCTTTTCGCCATTTAGTGTGAGGTAATACATTGCTGCCACTGCTACTTTAGCAAGTGACACGGGAATGCTAATCAGCTGGTCTTTGCTGTCCGCCTACAGTGACGTGGTCACACCTGGCCATCTAAATCTCTCCTGCTACCAGCAGCCTAATTGGGAGTATAAAAGGCTTAGCCCTGTACCTTAAGCCTTGTTGCTCCTGTCATGCAGCACAACATGTTGGATCCCAGAGAGTCCTTTTTTAATGGGCTCTTCCTGCTCAAGCGGTTCTCTAACAATTCTAGTGCTGCCTGCAGTGCAACCATTCAAGGGCCTGACATTAAACAGGCTGAATTGTGTTCTTTCCTTGAGTACTTAGCTCCATCAGGCCCCTTTGCATGGCTCTATCATAAATGCGGATATGCAGGATTTTATGGGAATGAGCCTCAGAGTTCCTTAAAATGGAAGTTAAAAAATAGAAAATTGCTCTGAGGTAAGGATTTTTTGCAGAAGAGACATGAATGTCAGAGAGGATGTTTTTTTTTCCCCCGTGTTTTTTGGTGGTTCTCATCTCACCAGTCTGGGGCTGAGGTCTAACTTTCAATCCTGCGTACCCTGGCAGTGTCCTCCATGCACCCTCTTCCTTCTGTCACAATTACTTCATTGGATCAAAAACACTTACGTTCTCTAGGGGTCACGTCACACCCTTGTGGGCTATTGGTTGTACTAATACTATACATTCTCTGGTGTATATTGCTAGAGATTTAGAACCTCTATCAATTTTAGACACTGTTTGTAAACCACTTACTGCCTTACTTGATGGGTGTTTGAAGGAAGAGTGAAGGGACACAGACAACAAATATATTTTTTTTTCTGTAGTAAAGTGACGGGTTAAATGTTTGTCAGTTTTTTATTGCTATGTTCCCACTTCCTGATAACTGATTTCTAACAGATCAAGAAACAGGTGAAAATATAGGATCTCATAGAGCAGTAGATCTGGGGGTTCCAACCCTTTCCTTGCTAGTTAAAGCTATGCTGTATAATACAAGTGTTTCTTTTTTCTCAGAGAAAAAGATTTCAAGCAACACAAGCACCCACGTCTGTGTAGATATGTCTGATAAACTGCTTTGCAGTGCTGTCTTGACTGCACATTTTTTAAATTCTGTTCAATATACAGTAGTTACATAGTAGATAAAGTTTAAAAAATAAATAGGGCCATCAAGTTCAACCTCTATATGTGTGCATATTCATGATGCAGTTGAACCAGTGTTTTATAAAGAGGCAGAACTATGGATTCATCTCTTGAATATACACTGCCCGGCCAAAAAAAAGAGTCACCACCTGGATTTCGGACAGTGTTATGATCTGGGGAAGTTGGTCAGGTCTAGGTTCAGAAACATTATATTCCCCCAAAAAAGGGCCAGCTGCCATACCGAATGACTAGGTTTTTCCATCAATTACATTTTTCTTTCCTGATGGCGTGGCCATATTACAAGATGACAATGCCTGGATTCATCAGGCTAGAATTGTAAAAGAGTGGTTCAGGGAGTATGCAGCTCTGAACAGAAATAAATGTTCTGACATTGCATAAGCTTATCAAAAGGATGCCATGGTGAGTGTGTGCTGTAATCAAAGCTAATGGTGGTACAACTAAATATTAGAGCATGTGATTTTTCTTATGGCCGGGCAGTGTATGTTCTGTTTATTACTAGAGAGTATTTGGCTTGGTTTGTTAGCTGCAGCTTGACATTGCATGTTGCTGCTTAGTCTGTGGCCCTCAAGTATCCCTAAGTCCCTTTTCCATCAAAGATTCTCCAAGAAGAGCCCCTCCCATACACTATGTTGCATGCATATTTTTAGCACTCAAGTGCATAACTTTACATTTTTCAATATTGAAAAAGCTGAACCCCCCCCCATTTTTCTAGGTCTTCCTGTAATGATGATACATACAGTACTGTGCCATCTTTACACAAAAGTGAACAGAGGTTATTCTGCTCTCTGTGTGCACAGGACTCAATAGCCTAGATGCCTGAAGATGAGAAGCTCTGATGCAAAGTTTTTATTGTTATTACATGCTATTTAACTCCTATCTCTTGTGGTACTGCTCAGTATACCCAGCAATATTTTCTAGCAATTTGATGGGCACTCAAGAGTTCGGTATGAGAAAATGACTGTTGGCTTTAGAAAGTAGGTAGTAAACAGAATGTTGAAACCAGAACAATTCATGAATCAAGATAAAGCTCAATAGGCAATGTAACCCTTTTTTGCACAGACATAACTAAACTATTTTGTGGTTAGTTCAACGGATTCACTTTTCGACTTCATGACTTAAAAAGGATGCAGAACAGGTAACAGTTACAACTGAAAACGGTCATTATAATTTGATATGTATGTGCAGGTTCAGCTTTTCGCATAGGACTGCTTTTCATAACTTAGGCTATTTTGCATGGTTTCAATAAAGTCTATGCTTGTTACAGGCAACCTGGAAAATGACAATTACAATTATTTATAAAGTGCCAACAAAAAAACATAAAAAGTGAAGTTGAAGTGTTGAAAGAACTTAACCCCTGCTGTAATTAAAGGTGGCAGACACCAAAATGTATTTCTTATGTTATTAGGGATTTAATTTAACAGTTATGATAAAATAGACAAAATACTTGATGCATGTTTTTGGCTTTTACCTCACTAAACAGACTTCCATTCAAATACGATATCCAGAGTTTCCAGAAGTTCGGAAGCTGCCCGACAACCACTTTTGTTAGCTTTTCCACAAACTCTGCCTGATGTGGTGTTTTATATCTCAAAGCTGCAAAAAAAAAATAAAAAAAGCTTACATGTAGAATTATAATCAATGCATACATTCAAAGTGTGTATATTTCAATGAATTTAAATAAATATTAGAAGATGCACATATTAGAAGATGGTCATGAACACAATACTAAAAATAGATGCTGCAGTGCCGTCCGTCCGTTTTTTTACTACGGGCGGACGGCAAGAGGTTAATCACTAATCCCTTTTTATATATGGATTTTTTTCAAAGACTACAATTGAGATAGTAGATTCTGCATATTGTTTACTGCATACTTTATTTATTGTACATTTCCCATGACACCTACGTACAGGCAGCCATCACCTGGGACAAATTAAAGCGTATCCAAACTCAAAAGCAAAAATATAATATATTGCAGTTACCAATCCTTAAATGTAGTGGCTGCATTAGTTCTCTCTTTTTTTTTTTTTAGTCTTTTTTCCCCGTAAGTCTGTTACTTTTCAACTTCTTTTAACAGGCCAAGCTGTCCAGCAAAAGTGGCAGATAGGGGATCAAGGCAAACCATTTAACACTGACAAAATTATTATTATTATGTAAAACTTTTATCCAAAAAGCAAAATAAAACTGTTGCTGTAAGTGCTTAAAAAGCTGGAGTTGACTTTAATTTGTTTCTTAAGTCGATCAAAATCTTCTTAGTGCATCTAACACCATACCCTCTCAACAGGCTGACAATGCTGCTGTCCAAGGACGGCTCCGCTGATCCTCCATAGAGTGGAGCCACCCTAAGACAGGAAGTGTGTTACTGGCGAGATCATCAGGTGAAAATAAAGGGGGGAAAAAGAAGAAAATTAATGCAGCCACCATATATAAGGATTGGTAAACTGCAATATATTACATTTTTGGGGGGGGGGGTTAGATATGCTTTAATGTTTGTTAGAACACAGCCATGGAATTAGCTCCAGTGAACGGAATACTCAAACTTTTACAGTATGTAAGGTATGCCAACAATTCTACAACATGCAAACCTTTCAATATTTTTTACACTTCTCTTATATTAAAAGTATTAACCTCAAGCACCATAAAATAAAGTTAATGATAATTGTTAAGTAATTATAGCTGCCCTGCCTATATTAAATGGCCAAGCTGGTTAGTTTTGGATGATACTGAAACTCTGGAGTTATTTATCAGTCTCAGTTATTTTTTAGACTGAGATTAGTCAATCTGACACATACCTCACCAACTAACTAGAAGAATAGAAATGTTTCCATACAACAGAGCAAAGTGTATTACTTGCCCATAAACCACAGAAACACCGTAATAAGCTTTGTAGAAAAATTCCAAAATTGTTTTCCCCCTGTTTTTAGTCTAACCCACTTGGACTAAAATTGTAAGAAACAAAGCATTTGTAAACGTATTGAAGATGATGTATAAAAGCATAGGGTCCTGCGACCAGTGTTTTTGCAACATAGGGCCAGCTCTGATGAAGACAAATATGATAAGTGTGGCACTGCACACATTTCAAAGTCTCTGCACTCTCCTTATAATATGCTATACGAAGCATCAGCATCTCTTATCTCAACAGGAAGTGAGCCAAAAAGTGAGCACCCAATGCATAACATGGCTACAAAAAATACTTGATGCATTATTCCTTGCTGTGTATTACATTGTTATATATATAACATGCATTATTAATATCCTTACTAAAAATGTGCGTATTCCTGGAATGGACCAATTACTACATTTCCACATTACATTACTGTTTTTTAAAACCGAAAACATACAAACTAGTGGAAAAGTATTTCAACTGTTTACAGCATACATTCATAATCTGACTGGTATAGTAGGTAAATGTTTCAGTTTTGCTCCATTTATTGTAAGCTAGCCTTACAGGGCCACACGAAAGTTAGACTACAGTCACCCCATTTATACTTACAGTCATTTCGTCCTGATTGGAAGCTGCTTCCTCTCTGCAGTGATGCAGTCTGACTGAGTCTTCCAATTGGAGATGGGCGTCCCTCACTGTCCAAGTCAAGCATTGGGCTCTGCAACATTGGGTTTCCTTAAATAAGCACACAAGGAAAAAACCTTTACGACAATGTCAGATACCAGATATATTTAAACAATGATCAATAAATGAGAAGGTACATTTGGCAGGCAGCCTACCCGGCAGATACTTCGCTTTGCAATGAACCCATTCTGCACTGTATAAAACTAGGAAGCCAAGGACAGTTTGTCACATTTATATCAGGTCAAGTTGGGAACCCCAATCTCCACTCATCAGTATATACACTTGGATTCAAACATGACACAGCTTAAATTCCATTACGGAGTGCAAAATATGAAGTGTACTAAGACAAAGTATAATAAAATAAAGTCAATATTACCTCTATATCTAATCAAATAATGTGCAAGATTGTGCACACATTAGAAATATAAGCTAACAGTAATTTACATAGGAGACAGCAGTTACATCATTTTTGGAAAGATGGGCAGGCTAATAAAAATAGTAATAATATATATTTTTTTTAAACAGCAATAAAAATAATATTAATTTTTTTTAAATAGCAATAATACTAATAATGATAATATTTCAGCTGCTTATGTAGCAAGTCTAGTACAGGAACTGAATTAGCATTCTTTCCCTTTATACAACAATGTGTAGCAAATGCATAATAGCTGCTATTTTCAAGCAGACACAAGATGGTGCTAAAACACAAGCATAAACTGAGACCTGATACACGCTTTTCAAATAAACGTGGTGTTAAATTTGAAACAAAATGAAATAAATTACAAGTAAAAACTGTTACCTAGTACTACAAATGCATTACACTGCAGAGGTTTAAATCATTTAGTTCATCTGAAGCTCTCTAATATTAGTAATATACAGCAAGCTGTGATGCTGTTACATGCTGCTGTGCCTGTACCCTTTAATAATACATCTAGCTGTGCTGGAAACAATTCACACTCGGGGTTCCTAAAATTCCACTTACTCATTCTAGTCTTTTCTGTAGTTTTCTACTAAAAAGTAATCAATATGAAAACAAAATGATAGGCAGAATACAACAATTAGTGTATATTCACACAAACAGTGATTGCAAAAGAGCCACTTGCATGCATGTGCCAACTGTACACATACTGACAGGAGGAGAACGTAGCATGAACAGAGTGTTAACTACATTAGTAAGCTTTCCCTTTATTGTCAATGCAGGCTACGGTGTGTTTTAGACTGTTTTTCACCCAGCTGCTGCAGTGGACATTGAGAATCAGACTGTACTGTCTGGATCACAAAACTCACTGGGGGAAATGTATCAAAACTGGAGCATAAGGCCTATGGCAACCAATCAACTTCTCTCTTCAGCCTGTTCAATTAAGCTTTGAAAATGAAAGTTGCATGCTGACTGGGTGCCATGCACAGCTGCTCCAGGTTTTGTCTGCTCCAGTTTTGATAAATTCCCCTCACTGTAAATAATTGCTAATCCATTGTAAGGTTAAAAAAATCCCCATATATGTATTCCAAATGTGTTTTTAGCGGATTTCTTGGAAAATTCTTCAAAAATTGGTAAAAAAATAAACTAAATAAAAAACCTGAGATTGGCATCCAAAGCAAACACATGCTGCCACCAACTGAATCTGTCACGTAGATGCTCTGACAAGCCATTATATACTCTTTAATATGATTTTGGAACGAATGGTGTTTCTTGACCGAAAACCACACTCAAACAAAATTTCAAATTCTGCAAGTCTTTGGTGGCATTAACAAATGTTCTAATGAGATTTTTCCTACGAAAGTTCGTTTGAAAATCTACCAGTGTATGGCCAGCTTACTTGTGCAAAGGGAAGAAAATGACTAGACCACATGAAATTGCCTTCTATCTTTTCTCCAACCAGCAACAATATTGGAGAAGTCAGAAGATGAATATATCAATGTGAGAGCATGCTCCAGCAGTTCAGACAGATTTGAGCACAGGTGAAGATGTACAAGTGCGTCGTACTGAGCTTTCTCACAGCCAACAATAGTGAGAGGGAATTCTGATCAGTAGCCTGAGGACTTTCTGTAGCCTGTAAGACTTCCTTACCACCCCTAAACACCTTTGAACATTTTTTCCTGTGCACAGCGGGTCCTTGTCCTGTGCTGCAGTCTGACCACCCACTGTTGCTTATTGACCAAACATGTAGGACTCAGGAGCTGTGCGGATACGACTTGGGTATAGGATTCCTTTTCTATGTAGAGAGAATCATTTGCACATACATTTCACTCTTGCAAGATAAGAAAACAGGGCAGCATAACAAAACTGGCTAAAATTATACTTAAGTCAACAGAGAGAAATGTTATTCGAGTTCCTCTTGGGCATAGAAGCTCTGTCACTGTCAGGCTACAGAAAAAAAATTCCTTCAGGCTAAAAGAACACAGAGAAAACATAACTTTAATTGTGTCAGTGAGCCGAACTGTTTTCTTTTATACATGAGCTAAAAGGACAGAATTAAATCAAATTGGTTCAGGCAAATATACTGCACTCTTTTTAGGGTTAGGGTTCACACCAGATGCATTGGAAAAAATGGCCAGCACAGCCCCAACACAAGTCAAGGCAATTTGCCTGGTCAAGGATGGGCACCATTCACACCAATGCGTATATGCAGTACTTTTTTTCTCAGCGTAGCGAAATCCAACGTGGTACCCTTGCACCTCGCTGTGCCTGTAAAACTTAATGAAATGTCACTTGTGACATTTCAATAAAGTTCTAAAGGGAAAAAAAAGTACACAGTGCAATGTGCCAAGATCGTGAATGGGCCCTTAAAGTGTATTGACACAAATTAGAGAAAACCCCACCATATGTTTGTGATGTGTTCCCATTTACACAGCTTACCTAAAAATATGTCTGTGTAGCAGGCCTTTGGAAAGACTGCAAGCTTCTCCGTACTAGGACATTCATCTCAGGGGGAAAAAAATCCGTCATGAGATGTTGCAGTTTACAGATAAGATTTCCCAGCAATGCATTGCTGATGTAATCTTCCCAGGATGCATCTCTTAGGCATGGGATACATCAATAATGCCAGGAAGATAACCAGGAAGTTGAAACACAGTAATTGTAAGTAAAAGAAAAATATGTTTAACTAATGAATGTAAGATCATTTCATATCAGCATGCAGAGCTGCACGCTGATGTGATTTTCAGTAAAAGGTGGTGAAGATCCACTTTAAGGTTTAAGATAAACTTTAGTAAAAAAATTTCGCATCAGCAAACATTTTAAAGCATTTCAAAAATCCGAAAATCCTGTGTGCACTTCCAGCATCTGCTTACTATTTAACACTGCATTACACTAGCAATTACCTCAGCAAGAAGTCTATATTAAATTCTATAAAATAATGTTTCATAAAAAGAAAAATACTGAAATATATAAATGAAATCAAAGACCAATAAAACATTTTCCAATACCAGAGAACACTTTCAATTTTCACTTATTAAA